GAGGTCGATAGCATGATCAATATCCATGGATTCGGTTTGAAGAAATTTACTCACAATATTGACAGCATGCAACAATCTGTACCAGATTATCATGCCAAACAAAAACTCAAAATTTTGAAGTTCATGTGTTGCTAATGAAACTTATTAAGCCTTAGTTTGGTCTCTATTATTTTTAAAATACATTTTCGCTTTCTTCATTTTCAACTACACATTCAACAAATAAAATATTATTAAATGTAAACTAAAAAAATTCATATTTTTTAACTACACATTGTCCATCAAAATATTATTTCAAAATGCATTTTAGACAAAAAAAAAAAAAAAAATGAGTATCAAACATGCTCTAAATTTATGATTTAGTTAAAAAAACAGTTACATAATAAAAATTACAAAAATGTAAGATACAAAAAATTACATACAATGTATACAATTTATTCCAAATAAATAAATAAAATTGCACACACAAATTATACGTTATGTAAACTGATTATTAAACAATTTTTAAGTTACAATTAAAAAATTACGAACCATGTAACAAAATAAATAAAAGTGTAAGTTATATTCACCGTAAGTTGTAACAACTTGGACCCGAGTTAATTTGTTGTCAAATTGTTAAGCTCTAACCAATGATCTCGCTCTTCTCTTCTCTCTCTTTCTTTTTGGTAGATTGGAATTACATTTTATTGACTTATAAATTTAATTTCGCTAGGACTAATGATTTGGTGAGACTAAAACCAAATATGATTCGATTCTTGTTTTTTACATACAACCAATAGATTTATAAGAAAAAAATTTACATCCAAATCGATTCAACAATTCTCGTGAAAACTAAAATGAATAGTCCTAAATCCATACTGAAACTAGAATGAATAGCCTAAATATATCCAGCCTAATCAAATATATCAAAATAGAACCAAGAAAGAGAGACCAGAAGCATCAAGGAAAGAAAATAAAGATTTAACGATTCGTTTCTTATTTCTTGATGGGACAATTAAAAAGAACATGATTAATTTTTATACATAGAGTTTATAAGAAAGTTAAAATAGCGATGTATAAAATTGCATAGATCCCAAATTAAGAACCACCTTCATAACTGTGTACAACCGAAAGAATAAATAATTGTCATTCTAAAATCAAAATTATCTACCATAATCTCACACTATAATTACATTTTTTAGAAATAATTTTTGCCTTCTCATTTAATGCATCAACAATGACGTCACACTTGACTTCAACGTTAATTTTCCAAGTGTTAATGGACCCCACCTTGATCTTAATGGGCGTTTTTGCTCTCAAAAGAAACGGCACTGTTGACTTTTTCTGTTCATTTAATAACTCCGTTTTAGAGGTGCGTGCCAGAACAATGTTAGACCCCTTTAACGCCGTGTGAAATACCGTTATGTTATTCTTAGGTTGGTAAAATGTGGGCAAAACGCCGTCGCATAACCTAACGTCGTTGTAAAAAACGTTAGCGGTGCCGTCTTTTAAATAGTATATCCCGATCTTGTCGTTGGGGTTGTTCGCCTTGATGCTGACGTCAAATCGAGGCGTGATAGGCGCTGCTGACGTCAGGTTGAAGCCACTTATCCTGATTCGATCTACTGTATACTTTGGTGACTCAGGACGGAAGACGAGGTAGAACACCGCGGCCGCGATGCCAGCCGCGACAATGAGGAGGAGAAGGAGACAGAGGGTAAAGCAGCAACAGCGCCGGCAGCAGCTCCGTCTATTTTTCTTAACATTCAAAGTTTGGAATTTGCGGGAACTTTCAGGTGGTGGATAACGGAAGATTTGCTCTCTGGGAAGCTGAATGACATAAGTTGATGGTGGCGGAGGGACCGGCCTCGATGGCTCCGGAATTGGTGGATGCGGAGCTTCAACATTGCTTTTTGATGATGTTTCCGTCGAGGGTGAAGGCGGTTGCGCCGTAGGGTGTACTCGATCTGCCATATTATCACACTCCAAATTCAATGTTCAAAGCCTTTTCTGCATCAGATTAAAGCAATGTGTGTTCGTTTTTGTGTGAGTGAGAATCTAAATACACAGACAGTCGGGGGTTAGTGTTGCATATATGCGTGTAATGAAACGCGTAAGACGTTAGCCGCCGCGTGAACGCTTAATACAGTTGTAAAGATAGAAAATTTTGTTGGATAAGTTTTTAAAGGATCATTTGACAAAATTTTTATTTTTGACTTTTGCTTTTGATGTAAGAGTTTTCTGAAAATTTTTAGTAACCTCGGCTTCATTAAAAGCTCTTCTAATCAGACAAAAATATTTTCAGAAAATTATCGAAACGCGTCAAAAAAAAAAAATTTAGTCTCCAAAAAGTTTTTGATTTTCAAAAACCTTATCGAACAGGTCCTAAAAACTGTAAAAACGTGGTTAATCGATAAGATCGAGTTTCAAGTTTTTATGAACTTGTTTAAATTCACAAGCTCTCAAGTTCAATTCTTTTTTCCTTCTTTTTTTTTTTTTCCCCCTTTTTTTGATAACATTTTTATAGTGATGTTAGTTTTACGCCAGTGGAATCGAGCTAGTGGATTTAATTTGAAAACTTGGTCTAAAAGATGATCTAATTATACGTAAGAAATTGTAATTATAAAACTCACTAACATAATCTCATAATTTATTAGTTCACCCCGGTTTATTGTTTAAAAAATAGATTTTTTTTTTCTATTCTTCGACAAACCATTTGACCCTTGATATATTCGGAACAAATGTCTAAGTCAATTTTAACACGTTGATAGTTAAGAAAAAGAATAATGTTATTTATAGTTACTGTCGCAATCATCCTATGTGGTATACGTGCAAAATATTTTATTACTAATTTCGTGAAAATGATTTTGAAAAAAAAAAAAGAATTTTGTTTTAATGGTTATCAAACAAGGACTTAGTAAACAAAATGAAAAAGAAAAAAGACAAGATTATGAAAAATCATTATTGAATTGGATTTCGTGTAATAATGCATTAAACAATTTGGCAAACATTTCATAGAAATATATCCCTATTTGGAGGAAATTAAATTTTAGATTCTCTCTTTGAATATGGATTAATTTTTTTCTAGTAATGGGTCGAACAAAATGGCAAATAGTTCATACAAGCATAATATTTTGAATACAAATTTAATTTTTGTCTACTAATGAATTATATAAAATAACAAAAAAGTCTAAAACCAACCTCAAATTTTCTTGAAAAGCCTAGCTGTTAGAACTTAGTTGATATTTTTGTAAAAATTCATAGATTTTAATATTTTATTATATTCCTTCACTTTTTAATATTGTTTCGACTACACATGTCCCGTGCGTCTTGGGACATCCAGTTCATTCTTTGGTGTCAAAGGTTAGCATAATTTGGAAAACAACTTGAAGAATAGTTGGCTGACTTTC